CCCCAAAACCCCAAAACCCCAAAACCCCAAAACCCCAAAACCCCATTTAACTGTGGTATTATTGAAATTTAGTGTTCTATTTTGATCTCGTTGCCTTCTTGGGTTCTCTGCTTGATCATTTCTAGGAAGGTCTGGTACATCTCACTTTCTTTGGAATGATGCTGGGAAGTGTTATGGGCATCCTCGAAATTAGGATGGGATACTGATGGAGTGAAGTGGTGCAGTTGGGAATTAGAGTTCATTACTGAGCTAGGTGTACTAGAGATGTTCTTTATTACCTCTATTGGATGAGAGTTGTCGACACTGATGCTTTTGGATAAGGCATTATCAATAGAGTTTGAGTCATCATTTGTCCATTCAGGAGGACACTCTAAGTTTACTATGAGTCTTTTCTTTGATCCTCTCTCTGATCTCTTCTTTGAAGACTTCTTTCGGGATAGAGGGATTCCAGAGCATCTTGATTTTGCCCGGGACTTTCTTTTATCTGTGAATAAATGTTGATTTCTCTTGACCCATGAGACATCCTTACTTCGGCTTCTGTTGGTTGAATTCCCTCTAACCTTACTTCTCCTAGTCTCAGGTTTCTTTTTAGCTTGTTTTTGGGGTACTTTTCTGGCATTTGTAGATAAATTTGTGATATTCTGGACATTCTTAGCTATTTTCTTTAGTCTTTGAAGTTCTTTTCTCATTCTTTCAATTTCTTTATCTTTGAGAGAGCACTCTTGCTTGTAGCCTTCTACTTCAAGTTTGTGTTTTCTCTTGAGGTTGTTTATTTTTAGCTCATGATCTTTCTTCTGTTGGAATAGCTGCTCCCGAAGCTTCTTTGACTCTTTCTTGGATTTTGGGTTAGAGAAGGAGTTCTCTAGCTTGTTGTCAGAACTACCACTAGAGAAAGACTTTTGGGAATAGTTGGCTTTAGGCTGCAGCTTTTGTGGGACTTCATTGACTTCTTGCAGTTCTTGCCTCATCTTTTCAATTTCTTGGATAGATTCTGATCGTTGATGTTCTAGTCGCTCAATGACACTTTCGTATTCCTGGACTTTCTGCTGAAACTCAGGGAATTGGGAGATGTCTCCATCAAAACTATCATTTCTCCGGCTCTCCAAGAGCTTGATCCTCTCACTGCAAGTATCAGCGTACTTGATTACCTGTTGGTGTTCATCCTCTAGCTTTTGCAACTTTTGCTGGAGCTCCTGTTCCCTTTGGGGAGCAGCAGTCAGTGCACTCTGAAGTTGCTCTACCTGAAATTTGTAGGTACCACTGGCTGTTTTAGAGTCTGCTAGGAGGTCTCTGAGGTAGTCATTCTCTTTAGTAAGTGCATCAACTTTGGATTGAAGGGAAGTTATCGCTTTCGAAGCGGCAGAGTTCGAAGTACTCGAAATTTGCAACGGTAAATTCTGGCTTGTCGAAGAGAGCGACGAGGAGGTCAGGACTGATCCTTGCAAATCTCCTATTTTTAGGTACTTGTTGAAGATGACTGAGGAGTCCCATTTTGACTCCTTTGCGGGCTTCTTTGCAGCTAGCTCTTGATGGCTAGCAGTCAAGTAGCTATTCAGCTGAGAATGAGCCAGATTTGTCTTCCTCATGGCATCCGAGGAAGGGTGTATATTAGGCTGTCAATTTTCCTTAGTTGTAGTTTCTGGGTTAATTTGGGAAAAACAGTATTTTGACTCCATTTTGTTTGAATTTTGAGATTTCAATTTTATAATGAGGTTGAGGGGTTTTGGGGTTTTGGGGTTTTGGGGTTTTGGGG